TCACGCTGCAATGTTCTATTAATTCCTACAAACCTCTGAGTCTCCTGAGGGCTCTACCTACAGAACTCCAGGCCATGTGCACTTTGGGTGAGGTGCTGCCCTGGGTCTCTCATGAGAAAATGATCTATAACTAAAAATTAAAACGGTTTTGTGGTCAAATTTTGCTTGTGAGTGTTTCATTCAGACAGGAAAGAGATTTTTTGCTGGGCACTATGAAGAAATCATTCCTTGCACCAGTTATTTTGTCACTTAACTACTGAAAGACAGCTGTGTGCCAATTGTCCTAAAATTCAACTTGCATTTACCATGCTGATGGGAGCTTCAAAAGCACATAAAATGTGTTTGAATCATAAAAGCAGAAATAAGGACCATATCTGAGGCTCATACTTTTAAAAACTGTGGGCCATAATCAACACTGAAACTCCTAGGAAGGGTCAGCCATAAGAACAAAGTTGTAGAATTAAAAAAACATGGTTTGAGCTGGGAGGGACCTTACAGATCATCCCATTCTACCCCCTGCCATGGTCAGGGATACCTTCCACTAGCCTAGGTTGCTCCAAGCCCTGTCCTACACTGGGGCAGCCACAGCTTCTCTAGGCAACCAACAAAATCAACAATTTTCCAAAACATCCCAGTGTACACCAATGGAAATACAAAGGATTTTCCTTCTGCTTGCCAGAGATTTGAAGATTTAAGGCAAGTCTGGATCAAAATCTGCTTGGGATTCCCTTTCCCAGTGTCCTGCCCTCCTGCTCCAGTCTTGGATCTGAGAGGGGGTGGGAGGGTTCAGTGGAGCCACATGGGCAAGCTCAGAGCCAAATTCCAGATTGACTCAAATGTCCTACTTTGAACTGAGAGACAAGATTCCGTGTGGAATTAGGTCATCTCGGTGCTCATCGGAAATGAAAATTACATCATCGCACGGTTGCTCGTCCTCAGATAAAAGGGTTGCAGCTGTTTTTCTCAGCAGTTCTGCACTTGGGGTCATGCTGAGGGTTATTTTAATTAAACACTGCCTCCCTCAGCCTGTCTGACTTCAGTTGGTGCCTAACTTAGGTTGAGCCCCACCCTGGGACTGGGCAGAGCCCCCCGCTCCAGGCTTGACCCTCACCTTCCTCGCTCGAGCCCATGCCAACTTAGAGAGCAAGAGCTCATTTTTTAACTCCACTGCTTTGATGAAATAATAATTTCATCAAAATAAGAGCAATTCCACCTCATATAATACATCCAGCACCAGATGGGCTCCATGTGCTGCCCTGGCACCCCACAGTACCCATGGACAGCATGGAGGGAATGGACCAGCACCCGCTTTTCTGCAGGTTGGATGATGACTGACTGTGGAACAGAGCCCAGGAGGAGTCCCCCACACTCCTCACAGCCCTCGTGAATATTTCCTCCAGGAATACTTGCAGCAACAAATAAAAAGCCCTGTTTAAAATAACTAAATAAGGCACTTAAAGAGGTTTTAAAAATTGATAACTCCACGCACTGTACGGGATCGATCTCAATTACTGCTCAGGTGGATTTTTTTTTTTTTTTTTTTGTCTTCTGGCTTTTTTCAGCGAAAAAAACTCACCCACCCAACCCCAGCCATTAATGAGAAACGTTAAGGGCTTGTTAACAATGTCCTTTCATCAGCCTGAGGTGCTGCCAACATCCAGTGCTCACGTCAATTTTCACCTCCTGGTGCAGCTACCGCGTCTCGTCCCGCCGGACGCGACTGATGGAGCCCAGACCCCCGGCTCCGGGCAGGCTGGGGGCCTTCCCTGGCCCCCAGCCCCACTTTTGGCTGCCACTCCCACGTTCCCTCACACGGGACAGGGGCTGGTGTGGATCAGGCTCGGGGGGAGCACTCGCCCCACATCCTGCCTCGCCGGCGGTCGGGAAGGAGCAAAACCGAGGGGGCTTCTCCCCCTCACCCTCCAGTCTGCAGTGGTGGGGTCAAGGTGCTTGTCCTTGCTCCTGCTGAGGGGAGGAAAAGGGGGTTTGAAGAGTGGAAAAAAAGAACAGAGGATTTGCTGCTCGCTAAAAACGGTGCACGACAAAAACAGCGATAGGGGAAGAAAATCACCTGGAAATCCAGGCTTGAGGATAGGGAGGGATTAAAGGTTTTGTTAGGACAGGACCTTCAGGGGAAACAAAAAAAAAAAAGAAAAAGAGAGGGAAAAAAAAAGGAAAAAAAAAAGAAAAAGGAAAAAAAGGAGAAAAAACAAAAGAGAACAAAAAAGATCAAAAAGAAGAAAAATTACAAAAATGAGGAAAAAAGGGGGAAAAAAGGAAAAAAAAGGGGAATGTTCCTTTTCTAAGGCACAAACTACATGTATGTATTTGTTACTCACACCCTCCACATGTTATTTGAAACCCAAATAGCAGCCAGGCCTTTGACAAGCTGCGTTTGCACATCAGCATAGCCGAAATCTCCTCTCTAATGGCCAGTGAGGGGCTGTCAGGAATATTTTCCATTGTTTTTAGAGCCAGTTCAGTTGCTGGGAGTGGAGGGCACAGCCCCTCACACACAAGCCTTTGAACCACATTTCTCTTCAATTTCTCTAAGAATAAAAAAAGCAATTACAATTAAATCTGCAAACGCAATTCTTCGAGGATTTTTACATTCCTGTAAGATTCTTGGTGGGAAATTATTCTTGAAATAGTCCATAAATCTTACAGGATTCCCCTTGGAATACTATGCTTTAAGTTTTTCAGGAATTTTCTACAGGTTTACTCTTTTATTGCATTTTCTTTAAGGAAGCAGGTCTGCACCACCACCTTTCCCAATAAATAGCCATTTTAATATCAATTCTCTGATGCAATTCTCTGTTGCATCTGCTGGATGCAACACACGCTATAGATAATATAAATTTAAAATAGTGGGGAAAATGATTAAAAGTAACAATCTGTGATTTTTATAGAAGAGATAATAATCATAGAATTATAGAATGGTTTGGGTTGGAAGGGACCTTAGAGATCATCATAATATTGATAGTAATGATAATATTAATGTTAATAATACTGTGATGTTAACAGAAACAATAGTTTAAAATTACCATTCCTTGTCTATAACTTAATATAATTTGGAACTGACACAGCAAATATCAAGTTCCACTTCAAAAAAGTTCCTGATGCCTGAGAACTGCTTAGAAAAATTAAACGGAAGTTTAAGGGGCAGCTCTTTCTCGCCCCAATCAGATGACTAATTCCCCTAATTCCAAAGAGAAGGAAATTCGGGCACGTATCTAAAAATGTCCCCAGCACTCCAATGAATCGGTTTTCTGTTTAAGATGCTTCCAGTCTGAGCTCATTACGCCGCAAACTCAGCGTGCATGGAAGTGATCTGTAACAATCCTGGAGCCTGGGGCCCTTTTCCATTTGGGATTGATACATGGGATGGAATCTGCATTTTTCATCCCAGCTTCAAACAGTACAACCAGTGTGGCTGCAATTCTGCTGCAAATCCGATGCAGGAAATACAACAGAGCCCTTCAAAAATATTCCTATTTGCCTTAGAGTGGCTGCAGAGCCTGTTTGTATAGGAAAAAAAAGGGGGAGGGGGGGAAAATGACCCTCTGCAAAATTCAGTTTCTTCTCTGGTCAAGGGCATCTATTTCATTATAAATGTAGTTCTGCCAAAACAAATATTATTTTTGAATCTTTCATTATCCCAGGCTCTGGGCTGGAGCAGCGTGTGTTGGTCCAGGATGCTGCGGGCCAGGGGACTCCACAGGGCAGGGGAACCCAATTCCCAGGAGAAACCACAGCATCGGCTCCTGTCAGCAGGGAGGGAGTTGGTTTGTCTCATATACAGAGGCACAGGGGGGTGCTGAGGTGTTTTCCTCAGCTCTGTGTGTCCATACACTGCCCCGACCTCCCCCTCCAGGGGACCCCTGGGCATCCACAAGGATTGAGAGTGGCCCAAACCCAAACACAACCCAAACCTCAATCCCTGCACTTCCTTGGCACTACTTTATTTAATTATTTTTTAAAAAATGTATGTAAGTGTGTGTATACATACAGACATACATATGTATATACACACATACGTTCATATCTATTTATACACAGGCACACATACACACGCCTGTGTGTGTATATATACGTATATATGTGTTTATATACACATGTATACCTGTGTTTACATATATATGTGTGTATATTAGGGTGTTACTGACTATGCCTGTTCCAAACCCATCCCAGCTGGATGCAGAGGGGTCACAGCCCCCCTCTGTCCCCCCCCTCGAACCCCCCCAAAACCCGGGGGGGCCCCCGGGCCCCGCCGCGCCCCCAGCCCTGCGCCGGGGGGCCCTCTGTCGGTCAGCGCGGGAACAGCACCCTCCATCCCCGACCGTCCCTGAGTTCATTCCTGACTGTCCCTGTCCATCCCTGCCCATCCTTGTCCAACCCTCCACTGAGCCTGCACCTGCCCCATCCCTGTCCATCTCTGCCTGTCCCTGCCCTGTTCATCCCCACCTGCCCCAGCCCTGCCTGTTCCTGCCCTATCCATTCCTGCCTGCCCATGTCTATCCCTGCCCTTTCCATCCCTGCCTGTCCCTGCTCCGACCCAGAACATGATCTTACTCCCAAAGTTGGGTGTTTCCCCAGGAAAGGTGTTACCTGCCCCAAACCCAGGGCTCACTGCCCCCATCCCTGTAAAAGAGAAAGTCACATCCCTGAAAAAGCACCAATACCTGAAAAAAAAACCATCAAGGGATGCAAATGTGGGAAAGGTTAAAGTTGACATTTGCTGCTGCCTGCTTTTGGTGGCAGCATGTATTAGAGATATAAAAAAAATAATAAAGTACACCCAAACTGTACATATTATAAGGCCATATTTTTATCTTGGGGTTCTGGTGACACGTACAAACCACTTGAGCTTTGCTTCCGTGGTTTATATCGCCACGAGAAACCCTTGATAAAAATACAGCTTTATATTGTACAGTGGGGTATAGTTTATTTTCCCCATATATCACACCCTGTGTTTTATTTATAAACAGACCCAAAGACACTTGCACATGCAAAGCAGTTTTTTTATTGAAGTAATTCCAAGGTATCAATAATCCTGGATTAACTAACGCATTGCCACACAATAATTTTTGGGAGGAAGCAATGGCCTTTCTAAAGAGACATCCATGAAAATATGATAAAACACATAAAAAAATCAGTATTTCCATGTTACAATTTACGATTCCCATACTGGAAATTTCAGCTTCTGGTGGCTTGTACTCACAGAGAACCCTACTAAAACCACCTCAAAATTTAGCTTTAATGTCTCTTGAATCCTTCCTACGCAGAGGCAGGAAATAAAGCTCTGAATAACAGAGAAATGTGGAAATCTAAAGGAAAACATCAAACTCTAAAGGAATGTGTTGCTGCTAATGATGCAACTATGATGAGCTTTTTAATATTTTGCCTTACTGGACTAAACAAGCTGCTTATCCAAAATATACGATTTTTCAGTAGCATCTCTTCTGCTGTTTTACGCAAAAAAAAAATTATTCCCATCTCCCAGTTTGAAAAGAAAAGCCAGCAACAAGGAATTCAATAGCTGCCTGCTTTTGAATAGATCTCACTGTGCTCTGTTAACTCCTGTTTAGGTAAAACACCATTTTATGCCCCAAACTGGGGAGGGGGAGCTGGGCAGGAGCTGGCAGGGCCCTCCACAAGCCAGACGCTTCCTCAGGGGGAAGACGGAACCTCACATTTGCCACGTCCCTCCCACTCCCTTATCCCTGCTTTAATGGACATTAAAAATAGAACAAAACAGGACTGGAGATGGGAACAAAATCCATGCACAACAGGCCTGGATCGCTGTAGTCATTCTGCTGTAAAATGTAAAAACAAGAAAGGGCAGCCGAGCTGCCTCCCCCAGGACGCAGCCCGCTTTTTTAATATAGTGGTGCCACCACACATTTCACTTTGGATGTTGCATTATATTTATATGTCACTCAAATATTTACCATTTTTCTGAATTCTGCTGGGTGCTCTGAGAGCTTGTTATAAGCCAAGGATCCGTGGTTGTGTGTCTTGGCTGGTTAGCAGCTGGAGCCGCATCAATATGCCAACTTCTCCTTCTGGAGCTTCTCGTGTGACAAAAGCCACTCCTTCAAGAGGCGTCCCCCTCCGTAGTTGCCGGTCTCCCCGCTGCTGCGGATCACCCTGTGGCACGGGATTATGATGGGGATCTGTAAAACACACAGAAAGAGGGAAGGAGTAAAGGGGGAGGCACCCACAACAACGGGACACGGCACTCAGTGCCCTGGTGGTGATCGGTCACAGGTTGGACTCGATGACCTTGGAGGTCTTTTCCAAATGGAATGATCCTGTGATTCCCTGAGTCTATAACTCCAGCACTGAGCCAGGAGCCTTGTGGCACTGAGTGACAAACTGGCGGGGTCCTGGCCATGCCCAAGGGGGACAGAGCAGCCACAACCTTGGGGCTGTGCTCCCAGGGGAGCACAAGCGGAGCCAATCACTGCCCCCAGAGACCTCCCCAGCTCTTAGGAAAAAATAAGCATGGACAGGAAAGTGAATCCATAAAAATGATGTAAAGTCTTTAAAAGGGTAAACCTGAGATATTAAATCCCATATATAAAAAATTCCCTGCAGCATCAGGTTCTCTTGCCCCGTGCCAGCCCCCCCCACAGCTGAGCACTCAGTGTTTGGGGGTGAGGGGATGAAGAGTCACATCCCCAAGAAGTACACGGGGAGAACAAGCAGGTATAGGACAACTGTTCATCACCATCACCGTGGCCTTAAGCTGATTTAGATTGGACATTGGGAAGAAATTCTTTTCTTTGAGGGTGGTGAGGCCCTGGCACAGGTTGCCCAGAGAAGCTGTGGCTGCCCCATCCCTGGAAGTGTCCAAGGCCAGGTTGGACAGGGCTTGGAGCAGCCTGGGCTAGCGGAAGGTGTCCCTGCCCATGGCAGGGGGTGGAACTGGATGAGCTTCAAGGACTCCTCCAAACCAAACCAGTCTGAAATTCTGTGATCATCCCAGGATTAGGAGAGGACGTATTTCTGGGAAAAAACAGACCACTGAGAAGTGGTCCCTGTGCTCCACTTCCCCGGCAGATCCTCCTCTCGCTGAAGCACCTCCACGTGCACCACAGAGAAATTCACTGTGAGACCAAGGCTCTATTTATTATTTAACAGCAAGTCAATCCAAAATGGGTTGTGAATTTTTAAAACCTCCAACAGGAGAGTTTTCATTCCAACCTAACCAATTTCAAGAACTTTTTTTTTTTCCCCTCCTGTCTTCTGCTCCGTGTCATTTATAACCAAATGTCACAGATTCTGCAAAATCAATGCCAGAAGTTACATAATGGACTGATAATGCAGAGAAGTACATAAACATGCTTTTTTCTTTTTTTTTTTTTCTTTTTTTTATTACAGGTGATTATCATAGCTGAAGTACACACCATAAAAAATGCAATACATCATCTCTAATCACGCCGGTTGTGTTTTGGTAACTGCATAGTAATGGGATTGCAATGATGTGGCTGTGACAACAATAACTCACTCAAAAGGGCAGTTTTCACAAATTTGGATATTTTACATCAAAAAAGTGTAATTTATTTCACACAAATTACACACTTTACACTGACTTATTTTAATCCCATTTAATCATTATTTCAGCACAGTTCAAGCTGGGACACACAAACCCCAAAGCAGCTGAAAAACTATAGATACCATAAATTGGGGTTTTTTTTGGGGTGTTCTTTCTGTTTTGTTAAGTAATTTCAATGCCTGAAATTTGAAATCTCAATCTCAGACCACATTAAATGGGAATACACACAGATGCTTATTGTTAATCAAGGTTTAAATAAAGAAATGCTTCTAATACCTGCTTTATTTTGAGGTGCAATGCCACAAGTGAATTATGCATCCATGACAACTCCAGCAAGTACCAATAAAAGCTTTACTCCGTGCCATGCCATCCAACACTTAGTTTACGGTTTCTTTAAAGAAATTGGGATTTATTGTGCAAGTTTTTTTTTCTAGTTTGGGATTTCTCTGTCTTTACACTCCCCTCAGTTACTTCAGCCAGCTTGGTTTGAGTGACAAAGCCATAATAATACACTGTAAAACATCTCCAAGGTTAATTTGCAATTCTTTAAAAATACACACACTAAAGCAGCAGATTTTGATGGAAAGGCTATAAATCTTGGTGGAGAAGAAAAAGGACTTTATTTTCAGGAAGTGTGAGCCATCTGGGTCTTGGATGATTCCTGGGTGGGTGCAGGACTACACAGGGATACGGGGCTGAGCCACTCCCCACCAAGCAAGGAGAGGAGGTACGAAATAAATGCAGCTTTTTCCATGCCCAACATAAGGAATTTCACAGTAGATTGTCCCAGCACACACAAACACCCATCTGTCACCCTCCAGAGCTTTGGATGTAAAAGTGGTACAAAGGCTGTAATTTAAAAATGTTGAATATTGCTTCAGTTTGGCTTAATTGTGGTGACAACGTTCAGACCACTAAAATAATTAAACCTGCCAAAATTTATTAGGGCCCTAAGGACATTTTAGAGGGAGAACTACCTAGTCTGGAGCTTTAATGCCTCAGCTACATTTAATGTAATTTTTATCAATAACCAAGCAGCTCATAATATTAGAGCTCCGCTGAAATCTCCATGCTGTGAAATCTAATTCATCTAATCCACGAATCCATCACACGCACAGACCCTCCCTCGAACGCTATAAAACTTCCAAGCCCATAGATTTGTCTCCAACAAAAACTAACATGAAGGAGCCCTCGGATCGATGCCGGAGTCCCTCTGATTCGGGCACCAGCTGAATATTTTCTCCAACTTTGCTTTTGTTCTTCTGGGTAGAGGCCCACAAGGGAAAGAGCTTGTTTTCACTCGCAGCCTCATCAATACCTAAATCCTGGTGAACAAGTGACACTGAGAAGCTGTAATCAATAGCTCCCTGTGCGTTTTTTCTTCTGGTCAAATGGTTCAGCACTACTGACAGCCCTGACACTTGGAACATGATGCTAAATCTTTATCAACAGCCATCTGGGTGAGTGGCAGAACAAGGCTGGGGCGGTCATTAATGCTCGTGGCAATCTGTGAATAAACTAACTCCTGGATAATGCGTTTGTTTAGGAAAAAGGCAGGGAAAAAACTCTCCCTGCACATGGGATCGATTGGCTCTGAACTGCATTTAGCAAATTCTGTGTGAGGATGGAGCAGAGCAGGGCTCTGGTTGTTATGAGTGTTCAGTTTGAGGCAAGGGAACCGTCCCATCACATGGCTGGTGGGATGGAGACCTCCTGAAACTTCCCAGCTTGTCAGACCTGGATCAGCCAGGCCACTATGGAAACAGATGGGATATCACAGAATCACAGAATCTGCTGGGCTGGAAGGGACCCACAAGGATCACGGAGTCCAACTCTTAGCCCTGCACAGGACCACTCCCAAGAGTCACACCGCACTGTCACACCACAGCAAGAACCACACTCAGCAAAAAAAGAATTCCGTGGTTTGCTCATGTCAGAGAATCCCAGACTGGTTTTTGTTGGAAGGGACCTTAAAGACCATCTAGTTCCAACCCCCTGCTTTTTCTCCTGCTCTTTCCCAAAAGAAAATCCTGTGATGTGACCCAACATGGGTCCCAGGTTATTACCAGCCACCAAAGGAACCAAAGAGACTAGGAATGAAAGATATTAGGAATGAAAGATATTAGGGAAAGGTTCTTCCCCCAGAGTGTGGCTGGGCACTGAACAGGCTCCCAAGGACAGTGGTCACAGCCTGAAGGCTGACAGAGCTCAAGGAGTGTTTGGACAACGCTCTCAGGGTGAGGGTGGGATTGCTGGGATGTCCTGTGCAGGAACAGGGGATGGACTGGATGGTTCTTTTGCATTCCTTAATTCAGTTTATTTTGTGATTCTATGAATGACCACACTATTAGTCCTATGTGTCTGCAACATGTCAGACCCAAACTTTACAATGTTCTCATAGATGATCCTACCAATCTCCTGGTGTTCAAAATATTTTGACTGGATAACATCCTTGATTTAGGACAGATTGATATTATATCCTTGATTTAAGATAGATTGGTAACAGCATCAGGTTGTGCCCTTAGCTGGGGTTGAGCCTAAGCAATGACACAATTAGAGAGGATACAAGCCCAACGTAGGCAGCTCTGCCTGCTGTTAACAGACCGCTGAAGACGTCTTATTTAAGGCACAGAACAGTCATTTAGGATGGCCTTGGACTAATCAGCCCAACATTCCCCATTTCCCATGAGCCTCTGTGATTTCTTTTTGATCCTCCTCTACCAGTCTAATGAGATATTTAATTGAACTTTATGGGTTCCCTTTGAGGACCACAGACCTTGCAATCAATGTGAACTGCAGTAAACTCTGTGAAGTTTCTCTTGCAAAAGGTGAGCCCTACCCACCACGCCCCTGGCATAAAGACTTCACGTCCTTCAGCTGCTGTTGGTACCTGCTCCACCTTCTCATGAAGCTGAAGGCCACCACATGAACTATGTGAACCAACACAACTACAACAGGAAACTTGTGGGGTGCACACTACCGAAAATAAAGACCAACTCCTGAATTTGTAGAAAAGAGAAAGGTATTTGTTGGAGAAAGGTGAGATCTGTGATTTTATCAATATGTCTGAGGGACAACATGATGCCAGCTCGGGGTTATTTCTGCTGTTACTACCATCCTCATCAAATCAGGTTTATCACAGAATCAATCTACCACTAGATCAGGTTGCTCCAAGCCCCATCCAATTGGGCCTTGGATACTTCCAGGGATGGGTTTGGGGTTTGGACTGCAGGTTTAGACCTCGGGGGGGTTGTAGAGGAGCAGGGGCTGCTCACACCTTTGACCTCTCATGTTGGTTTTATATGCATCCTCTCAGCATTTTCTTTAATAAGGCTTGTATGAAGTAGAGTTGCAAATTGGGTTAGAAAATCTGTTTTCACACGAGTTGATGGCTTTATATACAGAAATGACAAAGGTGAGGGGGTTCTGCAGTGCCACATATTATCTTTGTATGTCACCTCCTTCATAAAATCAATCTGTGTATTACACAGTCAACTTGCACATTATGGCTCATAGGTGAAGGACCATAGAAAGATTTCCTTGGGAAATATGAGGAACAATGAATAGATGCTCACACTGCAGGACCATGTGTGTGTTTGCACGTGGAATATGGATGGAATTTCAGATTAACTCCAGGAGATGTGTAGTGATAAAAATGTGGTTTGTGATGGGCAGAGCTCTCATTACAGCACTGATTTATTATTATTTTTTAATCACCAGCCTTCTATGATGAAATATTGGGGTGCCATTATATTAACACAGCTCCTTTCCTCTAAAGCTATACATTATTATCTATACCACGTTTAAAAATCTTCTGCTGGGGACAGAAATCACTGCCGCCATAGTAGGGGCTGGGAAATGGCAATAATAGCTAGGACCCCATTTAAAAAAATTGCAGTAGCTTTGCTGTATATTTTCAGAACTATTTTCATTCTTCCTCACAGGGGAAAAAGCAGGAATTTTCACACCACAACCTGCTGTTACCGCTACTTTGGATGCTGCTGCTCCACTGCAGCCTGAGGGCAAAGCTGGGTACATTTCTAGGCGATAGCAATTACATCTCCTTTTGCACAACACTGGATTGTTATTCTTTGAGAACTGTTTCCTGTAGGTTTGCATTGGATTGCCTTATCTTAATGTACACCAGATTATATTGGAAAGCATTCCATCACATTAAAATAGTTTGTATTGTCAAGTACAATACTGTGTATTGACGAAACGCAGCTTTGTGTTGCTTCTATGAACTGGTTCTTAGGGAAATCTGATGGATGCCTAAAATACCAGGGTGGGCTTCTTTATGGAGCTTGGGAGCTTAAAGCCACGAGGTGTTGTGTGAGTTTCCATGGCTCTGTGTTACCTGTGTGGACCTGCAGGATACCCACGGACCTGGCCCATGGACGAACACTTGCAGTGTGTTTATCAGATGAGATATTGAGCTCTGAGTCCAGCAGAACAGTTCATTAAACTGAACACGCCACCTGGGCTGCAGTGCTGCTGCCGAGCGGCACAAGCTGCCACGAGAGAACTGTACCCCAAATAGGAGGTGAAAAGTGAATGATTTCATTAATGGTTGCTGCACAATTTATGCGAAATAGCAAATCTTAATACATCAGTACCTTGAGATGCTTCCTGTGATTAAAGGACTAAATGATAAGCATGATAAATAGCTCATAAATCCACTTCTAGTGGAAGGTGTCCCTGCCAATGGCAGGGTTTGGAATGAGATGGGCTTTAAGGTCTGTTCCAATCCAGACTGTTCTGGGATTCTGTGATTCTATAAACTGCTGTGAGTTTAGATAATTGAACTGTTCCTTGTGAACTGCGGGCACATCCACCTGGGCCCCTAAACCCTCCAGTCCAGGATGGGGCTGATCTGAACCCAGACACACTCAAAGACACTGACACAACACATCAACTTCACTGACACCAGCCAGTGTGACTCAGGTGCTCAAATACACCTGAAAAGCTAAGCCCAGAAAAATAAAAGGGAAAGATAATTACTGGGAAGCAGACAAGAGACCCAGGGTTTTAACAAAATGTTTTTCCAAAATCCACAGGCCTGACCTAGAGTGCTACTTCTGCCAGCTGGTTCAAATTCAGGCAGATCACCTACAGAACCCCAGAATGATTTGTGTTGGAAGGAACCTTAAAGTTCATCTCATTCTGCCCCCTGACATGGGCAGGGACACCTTCCAACAGATCAGGTTGCTCCAAGCCACGTCCAACCCGGCCTTCTTTTCAGAATCGTGTTTATGTCAGAGTGGATGGACTGCTGTTAACACAACCATACTGCTCATAACCTGCCAAATGAGGGCCATGTGGGGGATAAAAGACTTTCCTGACCCAAAGGTATATAAGAAAGTTTGAGAAAAACAACCTGTGTAGAGGCTGGTGAATGAAAGAAGTGTTTCTCTTCCCAACCTAGCACCCTAAACAGTGGGGAATAAATCACATTAAACTGGGTTTGCGCATTATCCCTGATTAAAAACACTTACTGACCTTATTACTCATGGTAGACCAGTTTTCATAGCAGATAAATTTAATCTAATGACATTTAGCACTCCAAGCCCACCATGTTCCTACGGCTTTAGCTGGAAGTTGACGGGAACTCACCGGGTTGCTCCTCATGGCTCCCCCCACCGCTCTGGCCGCTCGGCTGTTCCCGGCCAGATCTGCCAACTGCTTGTAGGAAACGGCCTCTCCAAACTTCACATCGTTCATCAGGGTCCACAGCACTTGTCTGGTGAAGGAATCTGCAAAGAACAAGGCAGCAGGAGCTGTTCGATTGCACGGCTGAAAAAAATTAGGGTGAAACAGCCGAAAACCCCAACGAAACGTGAGTCTCAACAGCAGTTTTCTAATTTAAATTTAAACAGCCCTGATGTTCTGTCCTGTTATTGTGTCCTATATGACTACATTTAAATACATGATTATTAGAGAGAGCGCTCAGAGTAACTGATCACTATAAAAAAAGGATTTAAGGCTTTGATTTTCCTATATTTTTAATTTGCTTCAAGTACAATTATCCTGTTAACTCATACAATGTGGTTTTTTCCATTAAATTGGCAGAGTATAAATTAGCATAGAGTCAAATTAAAAGAGAAGAAATAGCTGGCTCTACCTATTCCACAAAAGCCTCGCATCTCCAGCTAATTTCCAACTTCAGCTGGGACTGGAGTCGCCCAGGAAGACGCCCTAGAGCCAGTGGACTCCGTATTATCCTGGCTGACTGCATTTTATAGTCCAGACCCCCAAGCTACAGCTCAGCACTGCAGACATTGCCAAATGTAAGGACTAGCTGTGACCTTGAATCTACAGCACATCCTTAATGATACAGGGGGAAAGAAAATATATAATGTATCTGCCATTATTTTAATTTTAATTCACCAGCAAATTGCTTCTAAGTGTTCCTATTGCTGGAATAATGAATAAGCAAATGCATTAGGAGCTGCTTTCTTCGGCATCTCAGGGTTTTACCCAAGCCAGGATTATTTTATAAAAGGGAAAGGGATAGCCATAGTTTGTATTTTAGTTGGGTTGAACACCCCTTGTTCTTGGAAAAGCTTTGAAGATCTAACTACTGAGTAACTTACTGAAAGGAGCAAGCTGGTGACTAGAAAAGAAGAAAAAATGGGGAAAAAAAGGTGAGGAGACCTTTTCCCCCAGCTGAGAGTCTCAGCCTCCTGCTCTGGCAAAGAAACAAACTCATTAAAGGCATTTTCTTTCTTTAGTTGTCAAAAAACACACTGATGATGTTACATAGGATGGTAGAGAAATGTGATTTTGTTCTTAAAGGAAACCCATACGGTGTTATGTGTGTGTTAAATAATAAAAATCACTTCTTAACTGAAGGGAATGATAATCACTTCATTGAAAAAAATCTGTTTAGTCTTTATTATAACATTAAGCAAATTAAACATCAGCATAATCCAGGTGATATGAGAAAAGGGTCATCAAAGAAATTAACTTTGTTGTTCATTAATTTACATGGATTAGTAGAGGGCAAAGAGATAGCAAATCTGCTCTAGTTTTTTATGATATAATTTCAAACTGTACACCATTTGTGGCAGTAGGGTGACTTTGGGGTTAATCAGACTGATTTGTCCTTTTAATTGCTTTCTATTCAAAGAAAATTCATTAGATAATGTTCTCTTCAAAATTCATGAATCAATTTAACTGAAGAAACCACATTAACAGCTTTGGGTTCATTAGCACAAGCAGTTGTGTTACTGGCTGATTGCTACAAGGGTTTCCTTAGGCAAACAGATTTTGTTTACTGTGATTCCTTCAGAAAGGTTTCTTTCAAATCAAATTGGTCCTTCTTATTTTTTTAACCTCTTTAAGTCAGTGAGATGAGCGTTAACCCTGCTCAGGGGTCTCGGGGAGTTACTGCCTGATGTCATCTTTTAAATGACACACCGAGTCCTAAAAATCCCCTCTCTGCCCTCATTTTTGGCGGGCTGGAATGTGACAGGCCTGAAACTTTCTGGAATCTGTTGGAATCGGGAGAAGTGGAGCAGAGTGTGGGAGGATGGGGCAGCTCCAGAGCCCCCCAGCAGCAGCACCACCAATGTGCCAAGCGATGCCCAAATTCCGGAGTACCTTGTAACACACTGACAGAGGGACAGAGATTATCCCCCTCTGACATGCAGGGGCACAGATTTTCCTCTTGCCAGAGCCACTGTACATTTTTCACGGGAGAATTCATCCCACCTCTGCTCCCCCATAAAACACTGGTGAAGTTTAGAGTTCAAAAGAATGAAATATTTAGCAATCATGCACATCATTTTGGAAACGTATCTGAAAACCCCATTTCATCCTGTGGGGAGCAAATGCATTAATTAGTTTAAGCAGCTCGAAGAGACAGTGCCAAATACTGTTATTAAACTGTCTGCAAGTGTGAGAGCCTGTGAGCACAACCTGCCCAAATGAGATAGCTGAACTTTCACCAGTTTTCACCACGTGCCAACATTTTATGCTGTTAAATATCGTTATGAAGCGCTGTAAAATCTGCACTTAAAAATTAACACACACAGATTCTCTCATCACATGAGAACACTTGGTACATCCGCGAGCCCAGGATGCCCCCGCTGTCCTGGAGACAGATGCCAGCAAATCCATGGCTGGACTGAACCACATCATAGGAAATGTGAGCATCAGAGGTTTTTCTCCTTCCTCTGCACATGGCTGTCCAAAAATATCCCCTCCAGGTGACCAGGTGAGCAGGCCTGACCTTGCCAAGGAACACGCGTTATGGCCAACAGAGACACCAGAGTCATTAGATGCTATTTCCTGTCACAGTGATCAACAATCTGTCAGATTTGACATGAAAATGCACATTCCTCCAATTCCCACTGTCCTGAAGGATGGGGAAGAGAGAGACCTGTGACTGAGTTGGATTTCCAGGTCTCCTCAGCCCTGAGAGCTTGTTCCCACCTCCAACTGTGTGTCCATGGCCTCCAGAAGTATTTGGGAGGGTTTTACTGAACCACAGAATGGTTTGGGTTGTAAATGGCCTTCAAGCCCATCCAGTTCCAACCCCTGCCATGGGCAGGGACACCTTCCACTAGCCCAGGTTGCTCCAAGCCCCGTCCAACCTGGCCTTGGACACTTCCAGGGATGGGGCAGCCACAGCTTCTCTGGGCAACCTGTGCCAGGGCCTCACCACCCTCACAGGGAAGAGTATTTACAGACCAGTTATAAGCCCCAAAATAAGGACTTGTCATGAACATGCTGATAATGCCCAGGTGCTCAGAGATCCCTCACAACAGCCCACTACATCTTAATTCTCCATATAAACATATGGGGGGGACAGAGTAAAAATCAAGTTTACTGGAACACCAGCTCTACTGTAACTTTTAGCAGTTTAATTAAAGGTGGTAATTAGTCCAAAGAACTAAAATCATACACTTCTAACTAAAAAACACAGAATTACAGACTGATTTGGGTTGGAAGGGACCTTAAAGACCACCCAGCTTCAACCTCCTGCCATGGGCAGGAACACCTTCCACAAGATAATGTGCTTATATCCAATATCTAACAAGCATTTGTGTTAAGTGTTACTGAGGGGCTCAGCCCCAGGGATGAAGGATGGATGGGGGGAAGAGCAATGGGAGCAGTGTCAGTCCCTTCCTGCCCCTCTGCACCTCCTCACACAGTTCTTGGGCCAAGAAAGGTTCAAAAGACACACAGCCTGATTTTCCATCCTTTTAAATCCCTTTGATCAAGAAGAATTAAAGACAGACCAGTTTTTCCCTTCCCCTCAATGCTGATTGCTGGGAATGTTAGTTTTTGTTTGTTGTGTTGGTTTTGTGTTTGGTTTTTTTCCTGTTTTTATTTGTTTGTTTTTCCCCAAGAGTTTTGCAAATGCAAAGACAGTTATAAACACTCCCCCCTTCTCGCCAGCTTTTTCACAGCCTGCCTGGGGTACTGCACAGACAACTTTTCTGTTTGTTTTTTTCACTTACTGGTTTTCACTGTTATTACTATTAGTTAAAAAAAATAAATCAAGCAGAACAGCTCAAAAATACACCACTCTGCTGACAAAACAGCAGTACCCACTGCAGCAGCAGCTTCCACCTAATCCAGAAACCACAGTTTGGCTCCTGGCCCTTGGAAGAACAGATTCATATTCAAATTTAAGAATTTTAATTGACAACAGGCAATGGTGTAAACACTGAATACAAGCAAGAGAGCTGATTTTTAGCAATTTTGAGCCTTCTTTATTATTAAGTAGGTCATTAAAGCCATATTAAACCTGTCAACTAACCTGCTACCATACACTAGACTGAACTAGCAAGTGTTATTAAAACATTTTGCTCTTGTTATGAGGCCCTTCCCATCCCTGGAAGTGTCCAAGGCGAGGCTGGATGGGGCTTGGAGCAGCCTGGTCTAGTGGAAGGTGTCCTTGCCTATGGCAGGGGTTGGACTGGATGGTCCTTAAGGTCCCTCCAACTCAAACCAATCTGAAACACCAGTCAAATCATGAAACCAGTCAAATTCAGGTGTTACTCTGAAGTCCTGGTGTTCCCTTTCCTGCTCCCCATAAATGTGGGCTAGGGGAGCACTTTTAAGCACTCCCATGTATTGCCTAAGCACCTATGCCTGCAATGTGTAGTATAATAAAACAGAAACAAAACTATATTGTACAAACATGCTGTGTATCTGTATCACTTTAGTGAACAACAGATCAAGATACTTTCTTTTAATATTTTTATATATAATAATATATTTTAATAACTTTCAGGCAGGCTCACATTGAGTGTGAGCTCTGTTAAAACCCAATTAACGGGAGCTATTCCTACTCTGCAGTTTAACACAGTTTTAAACGTGGTTCCCTTCAGACTGTTGAGGGGGTTGTGGGGCCAAATTCTATCCTTAGAAGCAAGGAACTCTCCCTGGACCTCATCCAGCAGTATTTCTGTAGGTTAAACCCTCTGGAAGTCAGTGGGTGTTTTACTCGAGTGGTAACTGATATTCTGACCCATTTTTTTGCACAGTCGCCTTAACAGCAGTTTACTAAGCACTTGCAAGAGGAGATTTAATTTTAGAGCTGATGGAAACAAGGAGTTTGATGCTCAGAACCAGCCCCTGACATTCCACGTCCGTGGCATGTTGCAAACTTGCCCAGACTCCCACTGCCCCACCCAAACCCAAACAAGGCTTTACACAAACCAGTGACTCCTCAGCTTTATCAGCTTCAGTATTCACACCAGACCTGGAGAGTTGCAACATCCCTGAACAGGATGAGGTT